GGCAGGTTGTAATTTTAAATGAAAAAAAGCACACACAACTAGGCATACAATATGATAAGCCATATTTTTTTTAAGCATAGGGAAAAAACCCCAAAATGTTAGCATTTGTCTCTGGTAGTATGATTATGAGTGATTTTTCCTGTTTTAGAATTCCCCCTACAAACAGCCTGTGTGTGTTACTTCTATAATTTGCATTAATCTACAAAGAGCACAGTATCCAAAAGTAACCTCCCCAGGCTCCAGTCCCGCCATCAAACTGTGTCTCAGTATACTCATCTGTAAAATAGGGATCTGAACAGTCCCCACTGGAAAGGCTAGCTTTAAAAAGAAAATAATCAATACATGCAAAGCTCTAAGAAAGATGCCTATGTGCAGGGTGCTTAGTGAATGTCAGTATCGTTAGCCATACGTAAGCGGGTGGAAATCCAACGTCTCCACTGACACTGATCTTTTCTAACCCCACGATGGCTGCTGCCTTCACTGATGCTTTGACACTAGAAAGTGCCAGGGAAAAGAAAACACCATCCGCAAGTTCACAACCTGCCTGAGAAGGCCTATGTATCAATAAAAAAGAAGAGTTAAAATTTTTTCAACAAATAGATAAAAGGCAGAGGCGAGTTAGCACTATGAGAGGGCCACTCAGGAGACTAGAAAAGAACAGCCTAGTCTAGTCTACAAAATAAGGAGACAGGAACCAAGAGAGTTCATGGTTCCATACCACACTATTTGCCTGTGTCTCTGAAAAGTCTATGACAAACATAGAGGCACTGCAAATTAACAAATATATTTTATTTAAACCATTGACTATATGGAAATGCTATTACAGTGACAAACTGAATGAAGCCAAGTAACAATTTAAGAAAGAAAGAGAAGGGGAAAATGGCTATCACCAGAAAGGGACCTAAAAGGGACAGAAGAAACTAAAATGCAGAAGACGCAGCCACCCAACTCCTGTAAATTCACCTTGTGCCCTGAAAGCCACCTGAGGCAGAGAGCTGTGCCGGGCACACAGCATCCCCACCAGGTCCTGACCTGCCACATCCAGTCTCTGCCTCGCTTCCCTCCTCTCAACACTCCCTGCGTGACACGGCAAAGCAGAAACGGTGGGGTCAGCACCTGGGTCAGGGCTTCCATGCCCCTGCAAAGAGCCCGAGGATCTCTCACCCCGAATTTCTCAAAGCAGGAAGCCGTGTTTACACCTCAGGACGTACAAAGTTGACTGCTCGAGGCTTTATTACCCAACTCTGGCAGCAAGACAAGCGGAAGGCTCTTTCTCGGTATCACATTCTGATGCCAACACATCGAAATTCCAATTGACTCCACCACACCCAGCACCAGCACCTTTTCGTGCCTTCAGCGCATGGGCTGCTGCAATATTCAATCAATCTGCAAGCTGCTCTGCAGCTGAGGGGCTGTCTAGACTTCTAAGGGGGATGGAACATAACAAGTTCCCTCCTCCTCCAGGAACAACCCCTGGAACAATTAGTTTTCCTCTGCAAACAGGGGCACAGAATGAAGACTTCTGATCATTCCAGGAGTGCCAAGTTCCAAAAGCTTCACCTCAGTGATGCATTCACCATATTATCTTCCATTCTGAAGATAAGAAAACTGAGCCTTACAGAAGTTATAGTGACTTTCCTGATGTCCTCCTTAGGAGGAGCAAAGTGAGACTCTAGCGCAGGTCAGGCCAGGTTCATTTTTTTAGCCACTGATCACAATGCCTTACTTTCCTGCCTTCGTTCAACAGCAATTTGTTTGAGAAGCAAATGGCGCCTGGTACTGTGAGCTTCAAACAACAACTCACTGCGCTGCAGAGTTCCTGGGCCCCTCAAGACTCACAATATCTTGGGTCTCATGACCTGCTTTTCCACCCTCCGGGAGGCACTAAAGACCAACTATGAGGAGAAAAGGTTACTCACGCGCTTATCCCATATCCGCACATCCCCATCGTGGCTGGTGGCAAGGCAGTTAGCATTTTTTTTATTCCACTTGACTTGGGAGGCACCAGCTGCAAAAGAAAACCAGGGGAAGAGAGGCACTGTCCTCAGCTCTCGGAAGCAGTGATACACGTCCAGGGGAGCTGGATAATGAGTTCTGGCTCAATAAGCACAGAAGCCCTCCAGCCCCTATGACTGTACCCGCTCCACCATTACAGAAAAAAGAAGTCAGGAGTGAGTGAATTAACATGGGAACAGGACCACAGTTACCTAATTAGGGAAATGATCTCCGAGAAAAATCCAGAGGTACTCTGAGCAGAATCAGCAAAAAAATGCAGCAGAAAAATGGTTGGTAACTGACCTGCCCCACAATCTGACCCTCATCCCAATGACACCACAAGCGCTCCAGCTCTCAGGCCTGTGTCTTCTCACTCTTTTTTTGGAGTTGTTGCTTCTGAGAGACAGTCTTGGAAGAACGTAGCCTCTAGCTGGAGCTCGGCTGACGAATCTGCCCCAGTGTGGACCAATTCTGCCCGAGTACTCGTACTTTGATACACACATGCAATGCGTAATGATCCCCGTGGGGTAATCAGCATTTCATCTCTTTAAATCATTTGTGATTTCTTTTTGTTGGGAACCTCCATACTCTTCTCTTCAGTTCTTTATGAAACATACAATATGTAAAGTGTTGTGAACTGCAGTAATGCTAGTAGGCTGTAGAAACCAGAACTTATGCCTCCTATCTACCTGTAATTGGGTACCATTATCAAACCTGCCTCTATCCCCTTTGATCTAATCTATCTCATTTTTTTCTTGAGACATTAGGTACCTTAAATTATCTAAGAGCAAAAGATGGAGACCACTGAAGATAAATTAGCTAGGGAAAGTAAGAAGAGCTTGCTCCATCTCCCCTTTTTCTTAACCATACTGGGTATTGAACCCCAGGGTACTCTACCATCCGCAGCCCTTTTTACTTTACTTTTTTTTTATTTTAAGACACAATCTTGGGGCTGGGGATTTAGCTCAGCGGCAAAGCGCCTGCCTGGCAAGCGCAAGGTCGTGAGTTTGGTTCCCGGTACCAGAGAAAAACAAAAAAAAAAAAGACACAGTCTTGCTGAATTATCTAGGTAGGATTCAAACTTGCAATCCTCCTGCCTTAGCCTCAAGTGCCGGCCTTATAGCTGTGTACCACCGCACCCAGCTGTTCCATCTCTTCTTGACAGTTACTTGAAGAGTTCCAAGTGAGCATGCCTTTCCTGAAAGAGGACTCATCGGAAGACCACGCTCCCAAAAGATTCTGAAAGCCTCCAATCCAACTTGCTTTCCCATGACTGTGACACCAGAATCAGACAGAAGTCCCAGCCTGCAAGAGCTCTCAGGCTAGGAATCACTCTGTAGCACACCGAGGCATGATTTCCTGGAACCATGAAGGGCAAAAACATCGTGCTCACTGGCAGGCAAATGGGGATCACAGACCCTGGGGAGCAGACAGCACTCAAGGCTGCACCTCTGGGGGATGTTAGATGGAGCAACTTAAAGGTCCACAAGCCTCTCATTTGCCCTTTTTCTCCTGGGGCAGCCCTGCCACCACTGGGAAACCTCACCTAGGTGCAAAAAGGAAAGTGACCTCCTACTTCTGTTTTTTTAGAAGGCCCCATAACAAAAAAGAAAGCAATCAGAACAAGTGGACTGAAAAATATTGGCTTCCTTTTTAGGGTTTCTCTAAAACCAATCTAACTCAGAAAGCTGTAGAGTAATGAAGTCAGGGGAATGTGAGTGAGACACATACAGACCATTTGTCTGTTTATTCAGTTCTTTACCCTCAGCAGCCAGTGATGTCACAGACCATCAGTACCCAGAGGGATTGGCCAGATCAACAACCACTAAGCATCTGGCACAGAAGCATGAGAGGTGCCTGACTCCCATATCCATGCACCCAACAGTAAGGGGATTAAAAATGATCAAGAAAAAACATTTTCCCCCATATAAATGTCACTATTATGCATTACACACACTAATTTTAAAGAGACAGGAACCATGTTTTTATCAAGGATTCCAAAATACTGATGATCCTCACTGTATGTTACGCCAGGCCTGTGTCCATGTTCTACCATGAGGAAGTGGCAGGAATATTCCCTGATAGCCCAAATGGATAACTTCACAAACAGTCAGGTCTAAAGAAAACATTCAATAAGCAATGAAAACAGGTAGACCAGAAAGTAATTTCAAGGACGTGTTCATCCAAGCTATATAACTTAGGTTGTGGGTGGGTGGGGGATCACAGGACTAATGACTTTGTTTCTTCAATAAATAAAGTTCAGAAAAGAAAAACAAAACCAAAAAGGAGAGGAAAAAAACACCTACCAAATAAAAAAGACGAGAACTATATCAACCACTTGCCAAGATAGACTTTATTTGTATTTTGATTCAGCCAGGTGTGGTGGCTTACCTCTGTAATCCCAGCACTCGGGAGGCTGAGGCAGGAGGACTGCCATGAGTTCAAGGCCAGCCTGGGCTACAAAGTGAGTTCAAGGCCACCCTGAACTGCATAGTGAAACCCTATCTCTAAAATGAAAAAAAGTTCGGATTCAAACAACTTATAATTATTGGGGAAACTTGAATACTGCTTAGATATTTTGTGATATTAAAGAACTGTTAATATTTATAGGTATGTTCATTGTAGAGTTGTGTTTTTTTTAAGACATTCTTCTTTCGTAAGAATATATACTGAATGAGGGTAGGGGTAGAAGGCTGAGTGAAGGTAACGATGAAGCAAGATTCAGCTCTCTGAGAGGCTGAGGCAGGAGAACTGCAGATTCAAGCCCAGCCTGGGTAACTTAGCAGTTCAGTGAGACCCTATCTGAAAAACTAAAATAAATATAAAAAATAAAAACAAGGCTGGGGATATAGCTCAGTGTGAAAATCCTGGATTCAATCGCAGAACTAAAAATAAAACTATGTATGATGACAACTGTTGCAGCTGATCATGAACAGGGCACTTCATTTTCTTCTGTTTTTATACTCAGTTGACATTTTCCACATAAAAAGTTTGCGAGCTAATCTGGCTCCTGTCCTTGAGTTCTCGAAAAAGTTCCTGATCAACACTCAATTGTCCTGACTCTGGCTCCCTGGGTAAGCCCTCTCAACACGGGACATCTAATCGCACCCAGTCTGGCAGAACGGGGTGTGGGTGTTTGAGTGTGAGGAGGAATGGGTGGGAAGGGATGGGAAGCAAAGAATGGAATGAGGCAAGTTAGGGGGGGCGTTAACACACTCACCTACAGCAGATAGTGCAACAGTAGGTTTCCTTGTGTCTCTGAAATATAAAAACCAAAAGTCAAATGCCCAATTCCTAAGACGCCAAATACCTGGTGCTTTTCTACCTTTGCACATACTACTTTTCTCTTAGTGGGAACTCAGAGTTAAATCTGCTGTGAGGGCCTTAAAAAGCTAGGCATGCTGGTATGCACCTGGTGCGCACCTGTAATTGCAACACTAGGGAGGCTGAGACAGGAAGGTCACAAGGTTAAAGCCAGCCTGGGTTACACAGTGAGATCCTGTCTCAAAAAACATACATATAAATATATATATATATGATATAACTCATATATGTATGTAGAGATATATAAAGAGAGATCTGTTTTGAACTTTCTCGGCCATTTTGGTTGAGGCTGAGTCTGAATTTCAAATCATTACATAAGAAGTAGATTATGTGATTCAGCATGGCCTGGGCAGCCCCACTGTGTGCGGGGGAAGAATCCCTGCCCAGTGTCACTTCCCCTAATGGCAACAAGGTGAGAGGCGTAACAGTGTAACTGCAAGACCTCTCCCAACAGCACCGCAAAGGCGGATTAAAAACCACTCTGGCTGTTCCCAAGAGCCAAGAGGTAGAAGCAAGCAATGAATGGATAAACAATGTAGCGGGTTCCCACAGTGGAATGTTCTTAAAAAGGAAGGAAATTCCTTCCTGCAGCATAGGAACAACATTCCTTCAGCTACAACACAGATGAGCCTTGAGATGAAGCTACGTGAAATAAGCCAGTCACAAAAAGACAAATACTGCATGAGTCTTCTGGGTGGTCACTACAGTGATCAAATCCATCCGAACCAACAGGCCGGAGCGATGGCTGCGAGCGGCTGGGTAACGGGCACTAGGGAGCTGCTGTCTAGTGGGTACTGAGTTTGCAGTTCTGCGAGATGAGGAAGTTCTGGGGGTCTACTGCACAGTAACTACTGAACACTGCGCAACGGCTACTTAAAAATGGCCAAGATGAGCCAGCAGTGATGGCGCATGTCTGTCATCCCACCACTCAGGAGGCTGAGGCAGGAGGATTACTGTGAGTTCAAGGCCAGCTTGGCTACATAGTGAATTCGAGCCCTCTAAACTACCGAGTGAGACCATGTCTCAAAACAAAACAGACAAAGGTTTCCCTCTTCCAGTCCCATGGTTCCTGAGCTTCAGCCCTGGGAGCTGCCTTTACAGCAATGGCACGGAAGTGCTGCTCTGTCTGTAGTGCTTGGTCCAGTCAGCCGCACGCACCTGCCTCCCAGGAGCTCCCGCTCCTCTGCTCCACCCAACAGCTGGCTTCCTTCTCCCTGCAGTCCCCGCCTTCCAGGAAAAAGGCCCCAGGTCACTGCCAAGACGGAAGCAGAGTAACGCGGCTCGGGGGAAGAGGGCATCGCACACCAAGGGCAGCGCTATTCTGAGGATGTGCGGCCCGGCTGGGAACTCCCTTCCTCCTTCCTCCACAAGGGTGACTCTTGACTTCCTTTAAGAGATGGGCACAGCAACCTCACAATGGGCATGAGGTGAGCAGATGTCCCAGCACTGCCCACTGAGGCAGATGTATCTGTGCTCCCAGCAAATCCCCCGCTGTCACTCGCCACTTCAATGAACCCTAGCTCAGCTTCCAAACGCCAGGACTCAGGCTGCTTTGCCAAGGGATTTCTGGCTGCTGAGGCCTGCTCTGCAGAACTCTGACAGCTGAGGTGCCAGGGAATTCAGACCCTGAGCTCCGTCCTTCACAGTGACAAGGGGGTAGCACTGTTTCTCAGCCTTCAGCAGGACAGGGCCGCAGAAAGACCTGTGCTCCAGCACCCAGTGCTCAGCAGGAAAATTACTACTCCCAGGAGGGTCCCTCGCTGCAGGCCTCCGGATGCTGCCTGTCTTCCCCCAGCCCCTCCCAGCACTTCTTGCCCCGTGTGGCACTCAAGTCCTTGTCTCGGGTTACATCTGATGTGGTATTTTTTTTTTTGGTACCAGGAATCGAACTCAGGACCTTGCACTTGTCAGGCAGGTGCTTGTGCCACTGAGCTATGTTCCTGGCCCTTGGGTTACATCTCAAGAAAACCAGACTAAGACACTCAGTCTCTAAACCAAAGGTCTCATATCACCCCACACCCAAGTGGCTATGCTCTTCACGGTTCTTACTTGATATCCCAAATGTAGATGTAGGTGTCCACAGAGCTGGTGACCAGGAGATCTGGCTCGAACACTGCCCAGTCCAAGTCACTGGGACACAGAAATAAACAGGACGAACAAAATAAAAACTTCAGTTTCTGGTTTCAAAGCACTGGAAAATCTAGCCTCTGGTGGCTTCAAACAGCAAAACATCATTGTCGGTGGGCTTTGACGCACTTCAGCCTGGGGAGCTCCTTAGTTCTCTGAAAGTAAACTACTGAGGTTGGAAGGATGCTTTCAGGTCCTCCCTGCAGTCGCCAGCCAATGCTACCGCCCACTCCCCACAAAGTGCAGCGTTTCAACTTAAACACACAGACCCCGCTCACCAGAAAGTAAATAAAGGAAGAACACATAAAGTAATCTTATCTTTTTCCAAATCAGATTCAAGCACAGCCACCTTGGGTAAACCAATAATAACCTTCCCATGGCCACACAGCACTGCGGGAGGGCGGGGGCTCTCACCCCCTCACCTCCTGAAAGGCAGCTGCCATTGGGATGCCCTGCACACAGCCAGGTGTCAGTCCTTCCCACCCGCACCCCCAGGTCATTGTCACCCACCCTGCACCCCTGCTGCCACTCTCCAGAGAGTGTCCCCTGACCAGAACAGTGACACCTTGGTTAGCCTGAGTGGGGGCAATTGCGTTGGGGGCACAGACTGAGATGCTGAAGCCCTGTGTGGTACCCACAGCTGCAGAGAAAAAGCCAAGAGCCGCCGCTGCTCACTGGCTGGGCACTGTAGATGAAACGGGCTTCTGTCATATAATGTCGCCCCCCTCCTGTGGCAAAGGTCAGCTCTAATCCTCTCCTCTGGACTGGGCTGCCTCTATCATCAGGGATCAGGGTCAGCGGTGCATGGGTGATGCTTCCTCAACACTGGTGGTTCTTTGCTGGGTTCTCTGTCATCACCTTAGGGGACACCAATTCCTGTTGGCGACTGGGCCAGTGCAGCACAGCGGGGCAAGCCACATTAGCATCTCTGTTTCACCCCGCAAGGGGCCGTGACCAAGTGAGACAGGCAAAGGGGCCGTGGAGGGCAGGTACCTACCTGATGACACGGGTGTGGCCCTGCAGGGTTGTGCCCACTTCCCCACTGCCATCCTTCCACTTGTAAAGGTCAACCCGCTGGTTACTCTGAGAAGAAACAAGGGAGAGCAGGCAGCGGGTAGCATAACATGCACAGGAAATAAACACTCTCACTCCCATCTGGTTAACGGGGAGAAAAGGAAGTCAGGTAGAAGCCAACTTGCCTGGCAGAGATCCTACAGGTTGAACTTGAAAAAGCCACTAAAAATCAGTATGGTTAACATTAGCTCGAGCTACCCTCCGCCCAGCACACTGGGTTATGAATTTCAAGAGGGAAATATCGCTTTTTTTTTTTTTTTTTTTAAATTACCAGGGTCTCAAGCATGCTAAGGAAAATATTCCATCACTGAGCTACATGCTCAGCCCTTTTAAAAATCATCAAACCAAAATGACTTTTTAAAGGGCTGGTCATGTAGCTTAGTGATTCTGTATCATCTCTAATGTTTATTATTTTTTATTCTCTTTAATTGTTTGGTCAATTTTTCATCCTTACATCTGGTAATCTGAGCAACTTTGTTGAAGATAACAATATGTAATATAACAACCATTGTTAATTCCCTACCACCTTGTTTTGAAATTCTTTATCATTTTTATTGTTTTAGTGTTGCTTTGTTTCTGTCTTGGTTCTTGTTATTTTCTTTTCTTTTCCTTTAAAATAAAAAAAATCATCTTGTCTTTGGAGACAAGGTCTCCTTAAGTTGTCTGGACTGGCTTCTAATTTGTGATCATCCTGCCTCAGCCTCCTGAGTAGCTGGGATTACAGCTATGTGCCACCACACCTGACTTGAAGTGCATAAAGGTTAGTAACAGACTAAGAACAATGGCAGACTACTTAATAATTTTTGAGCTGAATATATAATAGACTGATTTTCATTTTAGCTGAGACAGACATACATATAAAGTTCTGAACTTTTATCCTGAAATGTCAGTTTCCAAATCTAAAATAGGTAAAGTTCTTATGAAAAGGTTAGGATTCAAAATGGGAAAAAATGGATTCCAATGGAAACAGAATGGAAACTAAAGTCCCTTATCTTGTAATAACATTCTCTACCATTTCCAGAGGGTCTCCTAGTCCCTGGCTATGTACCACTAGGCAACTTAACAAATACGACCCCTGACCTTTCCCACTACCCTGAACAGTAGGTGCCATCACCCATGTAATACATGAGCCAACCAAGGCTCGGCAGGTTGAAAGCCTTGCTCAAAAGCGTGTTCAGCCTAGGACTTGACCTCAGGTTTGCACAACTCTAAAGCTGTTACTCCTGAAAAAGGCTGCCTTCCAACCAAGAACAAGAAAAACACTGCCGGGCATGGTGGTGCACACCTCTAATCTCAGCACTCAGGAGGCCGAGATGGATTGCCATGCATTTGAAGCCAATTACAGACATGTAAGTACAATTCAAAATAATGTGCCACTTCACCCCCACTAGGTGCGGCTATGACTTAAATTTTAAAAACACAGACAATGACAAACTTTGGTAAGAATATGGAAAAAGTGGAACTCTTGCGCTTTACTGATGGGAATATAAAACAGTTTAGCCACCGTAGAAACAGTTTGGTAGTTCCTTCAAGAATTCAAACAGAGCTGGTTGAGGCATTATATGCTTGTAATCCCAGCTAGTTGGGAGGCTGAGGCAGAGCTATCAGAAGTTCAACCTCTGCCTGGAGCAACTCAGCAAGATGTTGTCTCAAAAATTAAAAAAATATTTTTTTAAAGGACCAGGGATATAGGTCAGGGGCAGAGCACTTGCCTAGCAGCTCCTAGGTTCAATCCCCCATAAACACAGAGTTACCTTGTGGCACTCTAAGCCCACTTCCCAGCGTCCACTCAGAAGAAATGAAAACAAGCACATCCACATATCATGTGTCCAGATCAGCACTATTCGTAACAGCCAACTAAAATGTCACTGGGTGGATAGAACATTCCACTATAAAGAGGAACAAAGTTCTGATACCTGCTATACTGTAGATGAACTCTCAAACATTAAGCTAAAATAAAAGGCCAGACACAAAAGCTCATCTATTAAAACACAACTCCATTTATGCAAAATATCCAGACTAAACCCAAAGAGACAGAAAGCAGGCTGGTGGTCTGTAGCAGGTAAAGGGGAGGCACTGCTTAATGGGGAGGGGTTTTCCTCTGGAGTGACAGAAATACTCTGGAACTAAACAGCACCCATGGTCTCACAGCATTCTGCATGTAGTAACGGACACTAAATTGTTGACTTTAAAAACGATTATAGTAATTTCCCATTAGACTTTGTTTTTGTGCTTTGGTTATCCATGGACATTTGTGGTCCAAAAATATTAAATGGAGAATTCTAGAAACACGTAATTTACAGGTTTTTAAATTGTACATTGTTCTGATGAGCATGAGCCTAGAAGGGGACTCACTGGTTTATCCAGCATATCCACAGTGTATACGCTGCCTGCATGTTAGTCACACAGGAACCACTACAGTTATGGGACTGACTACTGTGGTATCGCAGTGCCTAAGCTCAACTAACCCTTATTTTACTCAATAAAGGCTCCAAAGTAAAAGAGTAATCAAGCTGGCAACTCAGGTATGCCAAATTTTTTTTAATTAGAGAAAAATGTTGCAAAAGGGGTTGAGATTTCATGACTTAATAAAAGAAAAAAATTGTATGCTGAGGTTGCTAAGATCTATGAGTTACTGTTGACAGCTCTTACTATTTTTATCTATTTTTTTTTCGTTTTTTTGGTTTTTCTCCGGTACCGGGAACCGAACTCACGACCTTGCACTTGCCAGGCAGGCGCTTTGCCGCTGAGCTAAATCCCCAGCCCCTATTTTTATCTATCTATCTATCTATCTATCTATCTATCTATCTATCTACCTGTGGCAGCACTGGGGATTGAACCCACAGGTGCTGTAGCACTGAGTTACATCCTCAGACCTTTTTATTCTTTATTTTGAGAGTCTCACTAAGTTGTACATGCTGGGCTCAAACTTGTGATCCTCCTGCCACAGACTCCCAAATAGCTGAGATTATAGGTGTGGGGCCACTGCATCTGACTGCTGTTGGTCTCTTATTGTGCCTAACTCATCTGTTAAACTTTATCATACGTATTTATACATCATATATAGAGCTCAGAACCATCTACAGTTTGTGGCATCCACAGGGGACATTGGAATGTATTCCACACAGATAAATGTGGACCACTGTAATTGTTTGTTTTTTTTTTTTTTTTTTAAAAAAAGGCTGTCTTCCTACGGAAAAACCCCATTTGGGCCAAGTACTAAAGAGATAGCCTGAGTCAGCAGTTTCCAATCAGGGCCACTTTACCACCCAGAGGACATGTGACAATGCCTAGAGATACTGTGGTTATCACAAGAAGGGGAGATGCAACAGAGGACAGGACACACCAGACCAGGAATTCACAGGACACACCAGACCAGGCTAAGGCGCCAAGACTGATGTCAATAGTGCCCGAGTTGAAAAACTTGACTACATGAGCAGAGCTAAAGGGCAAAAGAGTTGTTACAGGGCCCAGAGCGACATGCCGACAAAACCACTATCCTCTTCACACAGAGGAAAGAGGCTGAGACTGGAAAAGCACTACACTGGCTTCCCTCCTCTTTCAGAATAGTCCTGAAAACCTGCTCTACCTCAGACATCTGTGGGTAAAGCCAGAGTCCGTTTCGGAAGTGACTGGAAGCGCAGGTCTTTGTTCCTTCTCAAGCTGACAACACGGCTCTGCTTCCTTTCACTCTGGTGCTCACCTTCCACACACTGCATCCCGCCAAGAACAGCGCAGTCCAGCCTAGCAAGAAGTTCCTTTTAAATACTCCCCTTCCAGCCAGTGTAAAAGGAGCAAAAGGCTTAGCTCTCTAATTGTTCTAGAAGAAAAGAATGATGATACAGAATCTGGAGGAAGATGACTGAGATGAGCTGGCCCAGAATCTTCTGGAGTTATAAATTTCTCAGAAGACCAAGTAAAACTTCTACATGTTTTCCTGGGAAAAAAATTTCACTTATAAATATTCACACTTAAAATTTGAGGTTAACTGATCTAACAAAACCTGATCAAGGAAAAATCCCTTCCTCTGAGCAGAGGTTATAGGGAGTCCTCTGCTCCCTCTAGAAATGATAAAGCCCGACCCCAGAACAGCTTCCTGTCATCCTCCTCAGAATAATTTTCAGGTTCAAATGCAAGTTTTAACACTTTTATGAATTTGATTAAAAAATTGGTTCGCTGGGCGTGGTGGCTCACGCCTGTAATCCCAGCACTCGGGAGGTTGAGGCAGGAGGATTGTTGTGAGTTTGAGGCCAGCCTGGGCTACACAGTGAGTTCAAGGCCCGCCTGAAGTGCACAGTGAGACCCTGTGTCAAAAAGACAAAAAAAAAAAAAAAAATTGTTTGGCGTGGTATATTATTTGTACTAAGAAATTGTATTATTTGCACTAAGAATTTGTACTAAGAATTTGTATTATTTGTACTAAGAAATAACTTGACCCAAAACACCTTTTATATTAGCATAAGGGTTTTTTGTTGTTGTTGTTTTTAATACCTGAAGATTAAAGGTATTTCTGTCATAAATAAAATTAGCTTGTCTTAAAACACATTCTTGGGTATTCTATTTATATATCTTCCATGCCTTGGACATTTTAAGGTTAATTCAAAATGGAATGTTTTAGAATATTCAAGAGAAGAAATAACTACTTTTAACACCAGCTTTTTAAGTTTCACTGAAGACTTTTGGTAAGGAATAACAGTATAGACAATGAGAGCATTAATAAAACTTTAAAGAAGTTCCTTTCTATAATATCTAAACTTTTTTTTTTTGGTCTTTTTGAGGCAGGGTCTCACTACGCAGTTCAGGCTGGCCTTGAGCTTACTTTGTAGCCCAGGCCGGCCTCAAACTCGCAGCAATTCTCCTGCCTCAGCCTGCAGAGTGCTGGGATTACAGGTGTGCGCCACCATGCCCGGCAATAATAACGAAAGTAGTCAATATCTACATTGAAACTAGTCATGGAAGGTCAGTGTTAACACTGGATATTTTGTGCTTTATATTTGCTATAATGTTCAAAACGCAGATAGAACATCTGATATTTGTGAACATGCTTTTATAAAATTCTAAGTTACTACACTTTCTTCATATGTTTTTATACTACCTCACATCACTGTAAGAAACTACTTGTGTATTAATAATTCCCTTAATAGGGTCATCTGTTCTTTGGGCACTGCAGTTACACTGCTGCTAATGAAAACCAATGCTCACCGCATGCAGAAATGAAGACACCTACCTGTTTCCCTTTCATAATCCAGATTCAGTCCCTAGAAATACAAGGCCCGACACAGATGGAACCAGCAAATGCACACATGCATGCACATACAAATATATAAACCTGCAGCTTGCCTCTGTCTTTCTCACAGAATCATACAAACCTCTTTCCTGACTGAGTAATGAGGATTATATTCTCTTCCTTACACAGGACGTAGACCTACCACGCCCAGATGACACATTTAAAAGATGACACTCCTTAAATGAACTCACCGAAGCTGCAAAATAGTGTGCAAAGCTGTCATGAGGATTCCACTGCACAGCTCCAATGTCCCACTTGCTCTGGCGAGAGATTTTGCGGTGACCTTCGAAAGGGGCATCCAGATTGACGATGTACAGGAATCTGCGGCTAGGAGAACAACACCAACACTGTGGCAATACAGCAATACAGTGCATTGGCATGAAGACAGAATGCGCATTTAGAATTCCACACGGTTGCAAGCAGTGCTCAGAAACAACCCGGGCATACACAACACTTACCTACTTTGAAAGGCAGGCAGCTCACAGGGTAACTCAAGTTGGTGGATAAATGAGAACAGGATCCCTGTGAGAGCCTCCCTTCAGAGCTGGCCCTCCCGGCCACATCCACTGTGAGTGTGTCTACTTTCCCTGTCCCAGACTATCCCAACACCTCAGCTAGGATCAGTTACCGCTTCCACACTACGCCCACAACCTGGTCTACACTTCCACTGCTGCATTTACTTCTACAGCAGGGCTACTGATGAATGCTAAGACTCTTGTCCAGTTCGACTGACTGGGACCATGTCTTCAATGAGTTATCTTCGTATGCCCCACACACTAGGCACAGCATTCTCCACTCACAAAATGTGTATTAAATTAAACACATTACTTATCACTAAGCCAAAATCCTGCAGAAAATCTCTAATTCCCCTGCAAGTCTATTCCTTGGAAACTAAATTTAATCTATCAGGAAGAGAAATAATAACATGGACAAAGGAATAATAAAACAAATAATAAGTGCCAATAATGTTCAAGGAGCCAACTAATATAAAGAATCTGAGCCAGGCATGGTGGCGCATGCTGTTAATCCCAGCATGTGGGAGGCTGAGGCAGGAAGACTGCAAGTTTGAGCCCGGTCTGAGCACTTTAGTGACTTATGGAGACTCTGTCTCAAAATAAAAAATTCAAAAAAGGTCTGGGGATATAGCTCAGTGTGACCCTGGGTTTAGGACCCCCCCACACACACACAATCTGAAAATAAGGATGCCCTATGTTTACCTATTTTCCTGTTATCTTAAATTACAAAAAAGGTCCTTAGTATATGAATCAATATCCCTGCAACCATCTATTATTGATTCTTCATTACAGAACATGTGGAACCTCTGGCTATCAGTGGGGACAGCTAGGCTCAAAACAAGATTAATAGTCCTTGTCCAGAAAAGCTAAAAGATAGCATGCAAAATGCTGATGGCAGCAGAAACTCTAAAAAGGGATGGTTAAGGGAGAAAAAGGATAACACAGGGAATATACAATTTCGCAAAACTTCTAAACATCCAAGAAAGTTACAACAGAACGAAGATCTAGAACCTCTGACCTCCTCCGAAAGATCACTTGCTCCTGTAGTGGGCAGCTTAGCATTTTCCCACAGAAAGAAAAACAGCAAGATACATATACAGCTACGAGCTATGCATGTGGGCTGCGTATCACTATGAGTTCAGAGATATCACACAGCAAATGTAGCATTGCACAAAGTGGGCACTTCAGGATGAATATGGCTGAAAGAACATATGTACTTGTCTTCATTCCCCTTGAAATCCCACTAAAATAAGAGTTTGAAAAAAGAGGAGAAAGAGAGGAGGGAGAGACAGGAAGGGAGGGAGGGACAAAAGGCAGAAAGAAGAAAGGGAGAAAAGGCAGGCAGGCAAGCCCACACAGGCAAAGACATGAGAAAGGCTAGGGATGTAGCTCAGTGGTTGAGCATTTGTTTAACATGTAAGAAGCCTTGGGTTAGAGCCTCAGCACTGCCAAACAGGGAGGGGGGTGGGATGAAAAGCAGATGGACAAAATGTAATTGACCTAGAGTCGAGAAAGCTAAATGAAGCCTGAGTGCTGGAGAGGGGAAGAGACTGAGAAGCAAGCTGACTCACACAGCGGGGCCCAGCACGGATAAGGGGTAGGGCTGGAGGGCAAACAACAGAACAGAACAAGCCTGGCAGAGCAGCTAAGAAGAGTGGTGTAAGGGCCTGCCACACCTCTTTTCACACAGGTGCAGTGCAGGTGCGTGGGACCGGGTAAGGTGCCGCGATCAAAAGGGGGTGCTGAGCCCTCAGCCTCTTCCCCTACTGAGCGCACACAATGCTCCCTTTTGTTCTTCAGACAAAGACTCTTCCAGTGAGAACACAAGCCCAAGAATAAAGAAAGCAAGCAAACCAACAAGGATAAGGCCCTGAGATAACGATCTTTGGACATCTGAAGACGCCTGCTTCCCACCTCATCTCCCTGCAGCGAGCTCCACCACCTGCCCACCACCTGCCCCCGGTGTTCACAGAGGTGTCCTCTTTACAGAAAGCCATGATCCTAGTCCCTGGAGGGAACCTGGAAGACATGGATCCACACAAGAAAAAGGGAAAAGGAACTCAAAGGAAACAGGGATAATGCAGGTGAAAAAAAAAAGCTTGGGATCAATATTCCAAGCTAGGAGTTAAAAGAAAAGACAACGTAAAGAACAGAGACTATTAAAATAATAGTTGAAATTTTTAAAAATCTGGAAAATTTCTGAAAATTAACATAGTTGCAATTTCAGAAAACTTGATAGGAGTGATGGAAATTAAAATTGAATCCTCCATGGCTCTAGTAGTGCATGTCTGTAATCCCAGGTATTCTGGAGGCCAAGGCAGGAGAATCACAAGTTAAAGAGTAGCCTGGACAAGTTACTGAGACCCTACCTGAAATAAAAGATAAAAATGGCCAGGGATGTAACTCAGTAGTAGAGAATTTCTAGGTTCAATCCCCAATGTCACAAAAACTAAATAAATAAAAGTATTAAAACCAAAAGGATGATAAGGCCAAAGAGAATACAGATAGGAAATTTATTTTTTCTTTCTTTCTTTTTTTTTTTGGTTTTTGTCCAGTACCAGGAATCGAACTTACAACCTTGCGCTTGCCAGATAGGCACTGTGCCGCTGAGCTAAATCCCTAGCCCCCAGATAGGAAATTTAATACTGTTTATTAACAGGTTAAAGACAATGCAGGAAAATTTCTCCCAACAAAAAGACACAAACATCTAGATTAGAAGGGCTTTCCAAGGCGCGAAAAAAATTCTGTGTCATAATCTGAACAGTGAATACATAGGGTACATATCTGTAAATTTAACTGTTCATTTCAGGTTAGAGTAATCTATACATTTATCACATACACTCTAAAATTCAATATAAGAAAATGAAATGGAATGCCACATACTTGTGTTGAAAAATAACATGGGTGTATATCTAAGAACACACCAGAAGAGAAGTACTTCCATGATTTCTAGTCACATAATTCCATTTCTCCTAAAATAGTAAAGGATGGTATTTTCCACATCAGTGAATGTGGGGAAATCGAACATTTGGGCCCCAGTCCCTCCAGGGCACTAAGAGCAATGATCCCTATTTTATGGGTCATTGTCTTGGTTACTTTTCTTTTGTTGCTGAGACAAAATATTCAACGTCCAAAGTTAAAGAGAAGTTTATTTAGCTCACAGTTTGTGGAAGTTTCAGTCCATACTCAGCTGGCTCCAAGGCAGAGTGGCACATGGCAGAGGGCAACAGTTCATGGTGGTGGAAAACAGCAAGAGCAGCAAGAGCAAAAAGGGAGGAGCAGACAGCAAGCCTCCTTCCCTCCCTTATATTGTATGCAGGCTATTTTTTTCACACCCATAATCACACCCACAATCCTAGCATTGGACCGTGAATCAATCATAAACTCTAAAAGTCTACCCTGTGCCTACATAAGGCTTTGGAGAGACGTGCAGATGCAAACCATAGCAGTGATTAATATAGCTATATGATACCAAGTACATATTATGCCTCTATTTCTTTATATGAAACAGTAATGTAAAGAAAAGGTGGGGGGGAGGGGCCCTTTGAGTATACAGATATAGACCAAAGCAATCACAGTAAAAATTTCACAAACTCTAGAGATAAAGATAGTATTCTAACACTTCCAAAAAGAAAACAGGTCACAAAGAGCCTAGAATCAGAATGGCATAGAACCTCTCTATAATAACTCCAAGAAAAAGGACCCCCAAATACAAATTCAACCAAATAATTGTTCTGTAGTTATACTAGAAAGAGGGAAAAGGTCAGGTAGATATGTAAGGACCTACAGAGCACAGCAAAAGTGCCAGACCCTCATCTTCTGTTGTGAGAAGTCAATTTACCATGGATGAGTCTTAAATATAGTGGTATGCCAGGTATGGTGGTGCACGCCTGTAATCCCAGCACTCAAGAGGCTGAGGCAGAGCTTCCTGCCTTGTAGGCTCCTGGAGGGAGGGTCCCGGGCGCACGGGGAGCCTCAGGTGGGGAGCGCCAGTCTTTGGACCAGCGGCTCACTCCCGGCCTCGTCATTCCCCGGAAGGAGGGCTTCTGGTGCACAGGGAGCCACGGGCGGGGAGCGCCGGTCTTCCAGCTGGCTAGCTTCCTGCCTCGTAGGCCCCCGGAGGGAGGGCCCCCGGTGCCCGGGAGGCCACAGGGCAGGGAGCGCTGGCCTTTGGGCTGGCCCCCAGCCTAACAGGCACCTGGGAGGAGGGGCTCTGGTGCACAGGAAGCCACACGGCGGTGAGCGCTGTTGCACGCCAGCCCTCAGGCTGGCCACTGCTGCTTCGTTGAGAACTACCATGACAAAGAGAAACATTGACACAATTGGCCCACCATGCACCAGCTGCAGATGCCCACCCATAGACGTGTCTGAATCATTCAAACATGGAGAAACCCCTGGGAATACATGCCATAAAACAGGTCATTCTTGCTCCTGCCATTGAGAACCAGAAAGGTCCAGAGTCAGCGGAGGAGCAGCTGCTGAACAAGGACTCGGAGAACATGAGAATACAGACTAAGCCCGAGGAGTCAGAGGTCCTGTGGACTGGGTTCATGAAAGCCGTTCGGAAGCTGTAAACCAGGAGGACCTTGCACAAAACCTGCTGAGACTCTCTGGAAGCCATTCTTGCCCTGACAGTACAGGCTGTGGTGCAGCTCTGGAGAGGTCTGCAGCAAGATTCCTGCTGCCTGTGCTGACAGTTGGGGAGAGGACACTAACTGGTTGTGGGGTCCCAAAGCAATGGGAAGCTGGAGAGAAAAAGCTACAAAGAATGGCTTTCACCCCAGATAGCTCACTTGAGATGTTAGTAAGAACTGCCTCCTCAGTATTCCTTAGCCATGATGAGGAGGAGGCCAAGGAGAGAAAACAAAGAGACCAAGAAAAAGCAGCTGCTTTTCCTGCACCACTAAGAGAAACAGATCCCAAGTCTGATTCCCGGGGCCCCCAGAAGAACTCGACAACTGCATTCATCTGCTACCACTGTTAAAAGCCAGGCCACCTCAAGAGGAACTGCCCTAAGAGGCCCCATGGGCCATGCCCTGGATGCAAAGGAGACCACTGGAGATCGGTCTGCCCTCTGAGGTGGAGGCCCCAGAGCTCAGACCCATGCCACCAGTTAGTCCAATAGGAATGAGAGGGCTTGGGGCATGCTCTGCCTTCTCCCTCTGGCCAGACCGTCATCTCCATCGAGGAGTCCTGGGTAATCATGACTAAGGAGGAACAAGAAAACAGCCTGTTGCTAGTCACAGGTGCAAGTCTCTCGGTCCTTCTTTTCAATCCTGGCCTTCCTTCCAGCCGTCATACCTCAGTGAAAGGAGTCACTGGTGAGGAGGAAATATGCTATTTTTGACAACCCTTAGGCTGTAACTACTTGTTAGATCCTTCTTGCATATCTCTGTCTTCCTGAGAAACCACTTTGAAGATACCACCATGTATTACAGCAGCCACTGATATTTTCCTACTAATCTATCCATAACTGTGTAAAGTTTGTAATGTTCCTATCCTATTTCATAAATGGATGTATGTTTATTATTATGTGTTTCCTACAACAACCATTGAGAATAGTTAATGATATTTCAATAGGTCACTCATGTATAGCTCTATTTATTTTCTTTAGAAGCCACTTTGAAGATACCAAAGTATAGTACAACAACTCTTGATAATCTCCTACCTCTTTTGTCTCTCACTATTATTTGTCTATTTGTTTTCCTGAGAAACTATTTTGTAGATAACAATATGTAAAACAATAACCATTGATAATTTCCTACCATTTTGTCTGTAATTTGGTAAGTCCCTCCTATTATTATGTTATCCTTCTTTTACTCTTTAAAAAAAAAAAAAAAAAAGAGGCTGAGGCAGAAGGATCATTGTGAGTTCAAGACCAGCCTGGGCTACAAAGTGAGCTCAAGGCCAGCCTGAACTGCATAGTGAGACCCTGTCTCAAAAAATAAATAAATAAATAAATAAAGTGGTATATGAGTCCAAATATAGTGGTATATTTGGAAAAAATGGAGACAATCAAAAGACAGAGTTAAATGTTATGACTTAGATCTCATATATTCTGAAGTGGGGTTCCTGGAAGGGTATTGAATCTTGGGGGCACTACACTCCTCAGTGGGTCCACCCATTAATGAGTTTACAAGTGAATGTGCTGTTAGGAGGTGGAATCTGATTGGAAGTGGGTCACTGGGGGCATGATCTGGAAGGGGGTATTCTTCTCCTTAGCTCTTCCCTTCTCTCTGTTTCCTGGCTGCCATGGGCTGAGCAACCCTCCTCTGACAGGCCCTTTCACCATGCTGCTTCTGCCTGCGAGCTGGGCTACCATGGACTGAATCCACTGAAACTGTAAGCCAAAATAAATCTCTCCTCCTTTAAGTTGTGGATGTCAAGCATTTTGTCCCAGTGACAGGAAAGTGATTAATATATATACCACTAGGAAAAATAGAGACAATTAAAGAGTATTAAATGACTGCTTCTGGGATCAGAGGTGGGGTGTTATGCCTTATGTCTAGATGTCTCCCTAAAGCTCCATAGGGTCATAGGAAGGACTTTGCAGAGGTGGCTGGATCTGGAGTATGTGATGCTGGGATTAAGAATGTGTGATTGGTAAATTAGCCCACTGATTGGTTTGGCACAGATCTGGGTGTGGATATGGGAAGGCCCACCCTGGATGTGGGTGCTACCCACCCTAAGGGCCTGTAGCTTGTATAGAACATAAGAGACAGAAAGAATACTGCTGTCCTTACTTGCTACTTGTTGCTTTTGCTGTATCCTGCCTTCCATCTTCTACTCTGTTTTTCCTCCTCTTTGATGCCCCTCTGCCATGCCACCCTGCCCTGCAGCCAGCCAACTATGGACTGAAATTTCTACAAATGGTGAGCTGAAATAAACCTTCCCTCCTTTCACTTTAGGTTTTGGGTATTTTGTCTCAGCAATGAGAAAAGTAAAAGTGAGGTAGAGGCTGCTGTTTTACAACACAGGCCAAGAACTGCTCCTCAACTTTTAAACTATGTACAGATATTTCCGTGATTTTTAAAAAGTGCGATAGCTGGGCATGATTGTACGTGCCTGTGATCCCAGCACTCAGGAGGCTGAGGCAAGAGGAATGCTGTGAGTTAAAGGCCAGCCTGGGCTACATAGTGAGTTCAAGGCCAGCCTGAACTGCAGAGAGAGATCCTGTCTCAAAAAAAAAAAAGAAGTGCTTCAAAAAGTGAAAAGGAAGTTAATAATGTTATATACCAAAAGCTACTGAATTGTATATTTTAAATGAGTGAACTGTATGGTATTTTAATTGTATGTCAATAAACCTTTTTTTAAACAAAAAAGTGACCAGAAAACTAGAATCAAAAGTCAGAAATACCAATATTTCCTTATGTATGTATACAATAATGATACAAGAAAATAATATTAATTCATATCTCTGGGGAGGTAGTCACAGAAAGGAGGGAAATCTACTTTCCATTGTATATTCTTCTAAATTATTTAAATGTTTGCCATGTACATGTGCTTTTTTAAAAGGTAAATTAGCTGGGCATGGTGGTACACACCTATAATCTCATCAGTGGGGAAGCTGAAGCAGGATGATTGATCTAAATTTGAGGCCAGCCTGGGCTACATGGTGACTCCAAGGCCAGCCTGAACTATATAGCAAGACCCTATCTTGACACTCCCTGCCAAAAAAAGTAAATTAAAACACAATTTCAAAATAAAATAATGCAGCTAATACAAAGAAACACTTTCACTGATTTGCAAATGGGTTCATAAACACACTAAGTTAAATGAAAATCCAAAGCACTATGGAAGGGACGTATGGCCCTGCCCATTAAATTTTATTGTGGTACAATAATAGCGAAGGTAGAGATGGCCCTTGATTGCCAGAATAATGTAATTTTTTGAGTTAGAAAGCACTACAGAAAACTATGCCGTTCAAATCCTTCTGGATGAAATCTAGTTTTTGTTTTTGTTTTTTTTTTTTAACCAGGGTCTCACTATGTAGTTCAGGCTGACCTGGAACTCACTATGTAACAAAGACTGGCCTTGAACCCACAGCAGACATCTTGCCTCAGCCTCCTGAGTGCAGGGATTACAGGTGTGCCCTACCATGCCCAGCCAAAATCAAATTTTTCCATGAAAGATCCAAAGTCTCTTTAAGGTCAACTGAATAACTGGCCAGGGGCTCATTATTTAGTGAAACTGCCAAGCTAGAACCCAGATCCCCTTAACCCTAGTAACTACCTGCTTGACCACACCAGACTGCTTCCTTTAAGAATCTGTGCAGAAAACAGAAAATTGCAATTTCAAGACCAAACTACCAGTTGCTAAAATGTCAAAGGACTGGTACTGCATACCTGTTAGGGCAGAGACAAAAACAAACTACAAAAAATCCCTACAAGTGCCCTTGCAGTCACTGTGATGTGAGTTCTAAACTCTATCACTGTACCTGTTAAATACATGGATATTTTCCAATTTTTCAGCAACCTGACTTGCAGTTTGTTCCCCAGAAATTGTAGCAGACCATGTGTGAAAGCTCACTTACCCAGAAAGCACTGCATGCTGCCCCAGACAGTCCACAGACATGGCAGTCGCCTGTGAGAGAGAACACAGGGTCAGTGCTGCTGGCGAGCCCAGCCAGGGTGCAGAAAACCGAAGTTCCTCTCGCTCTTCCTTGCCCCGCATCCAAGAAGTCCCCAGTTAGCCAGCATTGATATCACAGTTCCTTACAGTGGACACTTTCAGACTTCCCTAGTTCCCACCCAAATCTCACATCCAGACAACAGAGCAGTTACATCTGTTACCCCTACATAAAGGCCAAGCCGGCACACAATAAACTGAGGAGACAAAAGTTCTAGAGCCCTCAGGGAGTCTGAGCAGCACAGAGCGACCAACAGCTCGTACACACAGAGCCTTCTCAGAGGGGAAGGGGACACTGCCCCCATACACACACCCATGCCAAAGGGTGTGGGGCACTCCTTAGGCCATTCAGCACCTGGCATTATTTGCTATACCCAAGGTTTTACCGTACTTTTGCATGCTTCTCACATGCAATGCAAAATCTCTAGCACATTTCCCAGGTCTCTAAATTCCTGGTAAACACCATCATTTCAGGATCCAATATCTAATTCCCAAAAGACTGCACTGGCTGGGTGTGGTGCACACACCTGCAATCCCAGCACTCGGGAGGCTAGGGCAGGAGGATCACCGTGAGTTCAAGGCCAGCCTGGGCTACACAGTGAGTTCAAAGCTAGCCTAAATTACATAGAGACTCTGCCTCAAAAATAAACAAACAAACAAACAAACAAACCCCTCAAAGACTGCACTGGACCCAATGAATCTGCATTCAGGCTGAAACAAAAGGTTCATTTTAATCCTGGCAGTTATAGCCCTAAGTTCTCTTATTTGGACAAGTTCAAATCCTATGTCACTCTTGTGGCTTTACCATGAAACAGTTTGTCCCACTGTCTGGTTACTCAGTGTTAAAATTCTTTCCAATAGAGCACAGAAAAACTCATTTTGTAGAGGCTGCCACAATCACAATTACAGTCACGCACAGTAAACAGAAATCTCCCTCTCCCTCTCCCTCTCCCTCCCCCTCACTGCCCTTACTAATGGGCTTGTCATACTTGTCCACCCACCCTCCAGAAACATGTCAAAGGTAATACTGGAGACAAGAAGCCAGAGTGCTCTTACAGTAGGCTGAAAAGTGATTAATATGCATCCTTCATGAAACCAGAGTCACGAGCAGAGAAAAGCCCAGCTGGAAAGGCAGGCTGTGAAATGAGATGCCATTTCCAGAACTTCACTGTGTCATTTATAGATTAACGTTATGAAGGAGGGCAAGATGGGGGTGGACATGGTGGTCCAGGCCTGTAATCCCAACATCCTGGGAGCTGAAGCAAAGGATTCCAAATTCGTGCCTTGCCTGCGCAACTTAGTAAAACCTGTCTCAAAAATTTGTTTAAAAGGGCTAGGGACACAGCTCAGTGTAAAGGCCCTAGGTTCAATGCCCAGTACTGCAAAGGAAGGAAGAAAGGAAGGAAGGAAGGCAGGGAGGGAGACTGGGAGGGTGGGAGGTTCTTCTAAAGAGACAATGTAATCTCTAGATGCCAGGTGGTAGGCAGAATCCTAAAATGCAGCCCAGGACTCCAGGCCTTTGGTGTACACACACCTTTCCCTGACATTCAACTCTAATAAAGATGAATCCAAGTACTACTGTGAAGGAATCTCACTGACGTAATTAAGATCCCAAATCAACTGGCTTAAGACAGAGAAACCTGAAACATCCCAACTGTCCACTGATGGAAGGTAAACAAAATATGTGTAGACATACAATGGAATTCCATTCAGCCTTTGAAAGGAAAGAAATCCCACAAGTGCTCTGACACAAACGCACCTTAACACAGTATGCGAAGTGAAACACATCAGACAAATATTGCATCTCCACCTAAATAAAGCAGGCAAGTTCAGAGAAACAGAAAGTAGAGTTGAGAATGCAGGAGGCCAGGTAGGGAGAGTGGAGAATGGGGAGTTACTGTTTGATGGGTAGAGACTTCCTGTTTGGGATGATGAAAAGTTCTCAGGGGAAACGGAGGACTGAGAGACCTAATCTTTTTTTTTAAATTAATTTTACTGGTACATTTTAGATATACATAATGGTAGCATTCATCATAGGGAATTTGTACCTGTACATGACAGATCTTGCTGCTGCTTTTTTTCCCCATTTCCCTCGCCTCCCTTCAACACCTCTTCCCCTCCTTATTTACAAAGCTTTGTTTGCATTTTTCCCTTCCATTCTCTTTTTTCTCCTTTTCCCTTCCTTCCTTTCCCCTCCCCCACTCCCTAGTACCCCTCCCATCTGAACTCTTCCTACTTCACAACATTTATTATAGATTTTAGTCCTCATTGACACTTTCAGTTTCTCATACCAGAGAAACTAGGTGATAATGAACATGTGTGTCTGATTTATTTCACTCAAGAGTATGGGAGGCCTAATCTTCTCAACCACTTAAATCTAGGTCTAGAAGTCAAGAATTGGGAGATTCACCATTCGGAGGGATTCACCATGAGATTCCCCACTGCTATCTGTAAGTATAGAGGGGACACTTGGCCTGCACCTGAGTGGCCTCTGGGGGTGGAGAGCAAGCCCTCAGCCAACTGTGACAACCAGCAAAAAACAGCTCAGTCCCACAACCCCGGGGAACTGGACTTAGCCAACCACCCAGAAGTGGATTCTTCTCAAGTGAAACTTCCAGGAGAGAATGCAGCGGGTGCTTCCTTGATTCCATCCTGTGAGACACTGAGCAGTGCCTGGCCTTCTGACCTACAGAACTATGACCTAATAAATGGGTGTAGTTTTAAGATGCTAAGCTTGTGGTGTACCGTGATAGACTACTAATAAAGCAGGACCTGGCAATGGCCCAAAAAAGTCATGCTCTTTGATTTAGTAATTCCAACTCCAGAATCTAAGCAAGATACAGCAAAAGTTGTAGGCACAAAGCTCCTTATCTCATGCTATCAGCAAATTATGTATTACTATATGATGGAATATTCTGGAAGTATTTTTATTTTTTTGTTTTTGTTTTTGTTTTTTTATACCGGGAATCAAACTCAGGACCTTATGCTTGCCAGGCAGGCACTTATGCCACTGAGCTATATCCCCGGCTCTGGAAGTATTTTTAAAATGACGTACATTTTTAAAATGATACGAACTGGGCATGGTGGTGCAGACCTGTAATCCCAGCACTCTGAGAGGCTGAGCCAGGAGGATCACAAGTTCAGTTTAGCATGTCTTCGTGATTCAGCAAGACCTTGACTCAAAAAAATAAAAAGTAAAAAAGAGCTGGGGATGTAGGTGAGGGTGGTGATTTGTGGGGACAGAGTCTAGCATCTAAGGCCTCATACTCTCAGGGCACCAGACAGGCAATGGCTGAGAGATCCTAACAGGTAATTTACGAATGATGTGATTGTGGGATTCCTATTTGCTCCCACACTAAGATAAGAAGGCAACCTATATCACAGTGACTAAGAGAATTTCTTTTAGTCAGTAGGAAGGAGCTTTCTGCAGCTTACAAACAAGCTAGAAAAGTAAATGAAAGTGGTACTGTATACCCTACTATGGACTAAAACTTAAATGGGTTACTTATAAACATATTCTTAGCTGGGTGTGATGGCATACACCTCCAATTTCAGCTATTTAGGAGCTGAAGCAGAAGGATGGCAAGTTTGAAGCCAGCCCAGGCAATTTAGCAAGACTCTGTCTCAAAATAAAAGATAAAAAGGTGCCATGTGTGGTGGTGCGCGTCTGTAATGCCAGCACTCGGGAGGCTGAGGCAGGAGGATCACCACAAGTTCAAGGCCAGTGTGGGCTACACAAAGACTTCAAGGCCAGCCTGAACTACGTAGTCAGACCCTGTCTCAAAAAACTAACTAAACATATAAATAAAGAAAACAGAAATAGGTCTAGGGGTGTAGCTCAGTGGTACAGTGCCCCTGGGTTTGATCTTCAGTATGGGTATCACATCTTTTTTTTAATTTTCATATTTATGAGTACAAGTTTGCAGTACACAATGATTACATTCATTGGAGAGTTGGTACACACACATAACACATCTCAAATCTTTTTTTTCACCCCCCTCATCTCTTGGGGAGGAGATACCACTTCTACTACTTATCAGGCATACAATAAAAAAAAAGATCCAGCAAAAGTGCCATTAACCTCTTGGACCGTTAAGATGTGTGCTGTTTAGTAGTTATTATACTTGAGGTTATGACAGAATCAGATGTCACTGTACTCCTTCAAACCCCAGGCTTCTGTGCTAGGCCTCTGGGGCTCCTCCTAACTTTGGACACTCTTTCCTAGTCCTTCCCTGACGGGGCCATTTTTCCCATCCCTGCCTTGCGTTGGGCCTCGTCAGGCCTCACCTGCTTGGGTCCCCAGACTACCAGCAGCCTTGCTCCCTGAGCCTGGTTGCTTGCCTGCATCCCCAGCCTGCCTCTCTCCCCAGTCTGCAGTGTTAAGTATCACATCCTTAGCATAACAGCAGAGAACACTTCCGGCCTCTATGCTGTTCCCGCTGCTCCTGTCCACAGCCCATGTGTACCTCTCCTCTCCCCAACCTGTTCCAAAGCCCCAGCCATCCCCAACTCTCTAGTCTGAATTCCTTCCAGCCCTCCAAACTCAGCCACCTCTCCCACACCTCCCGACCCTCACACCAGAGGCTTCCTCTCCCTAGAAGCCATTCTCTAGCCACTCTGCATCTGGCCAACTCCTTGTCTTTCGGGATTCAGTGCAAACTCTTGTAAAAAACGTTTTCTGAATCAGCCTCTCACACACATATACCGTGAGTCAGCTGTGTCTTTTCTGTGCTTCCAGGGCTTCTCTCTACACAGCACTTATGATATTACAGTAGTATCTGTTTATTCAGACAGCTCCTCCTCTAGATTGCAATTTCCTTGAGGGTAAAATCAATTCGTTAGGACATGGTAGGCATTCAGTAAGCACCTACTACTGCAGGCGACATAGGGGTCTTTAAAAGCTTATGCTCGTTGGACACAGGAAACTACATCTGCAATCCCAGCACTCCTAGCAC